TTTACAAATTCTTACTTATTTAAAATTTTCTGTTAGGATTCGATGGGGAAGAATGGAACCCAGCTTTTACGTCACTGTGTACATATTCTTGTTCGAGTTACGAGTGATCTCTTTGCCGTGAGGCTCTCAGGTATTGATTTTTCTTCCAAGTGCACTTTTTGTCCCAACCTCATATATCACATGCAATCCAGTTCTGTCTTAAGACTCGATATCATGTGCTATCGGTTTCGTCATTTCAGCCCTGTTTAATTTTCTCTAAGTTGGTTACGTTCCACTTGCTGATGCAGGCATTGGGAAGACTGTGAAAGAAAAGGTTTGTGCACACACGAGCCGTGATATCCGTGCCATTGCAAGTCAGCTTGTTAATGTGTGGCTGGAACTATACCGGAAAGAAAAAGTAAATAGTGGAAAGAAATCATTGAGACAAGCGAATACAACAAACACCTCTAGAATAAGAAGAAAACTGAATAGTCCGGACACAGACAGTAAGGGAAAGCTGAGCAATGGCAACGATGTGAAAACAGATGAAGAGCTTGAGGACAACCAGCTACCTATGTCAGAGGAAGAGAAGGCTGTCTTTGCTGAAGCTGAGGCGGCTCGTGCAGCAGCAGAAGCAGCTGCAAAGGCAAGTGTTTTTTTTTTAATCTTTAAATTAGTGAAAGGCATTGATGGATGCTTGCTGAATGTGTTTGTTTTCTCTGAGGAGGGTAATTTGCTTTCATATTAAGTCAACTCTTTATTTATTTGTTTGTTAAGAACAAATTATATGTTTCTGTCTTGCAGGCATTTTCTGAGGCCTATCATAATACTTCATTGCAGCTTCCTAAGATTCCCTCGTTTCATAAGTTTGCCAGGCGAGAGCAGTATGCAAAGATGGACGAATCTGATTTCAGGAAAAAGTTTCCTGGCAATGTCTTAGGAAGACAAGATTGTATGTCAGAGATAGACTCGAGGAACTGCAAAGTTCGGGACTGGTATGATTTTCCTGCCTCCTGCCTTGACCTTGACAATTCAAGGATTCCAGTTGATAACTATTCACAGCGTAGCCATTCAAATGAGCTTGTATCTCATTCGAAGTTCAGAGAATGTTCTGGAGAAAGTGTGGCTGCGGATACCAGTTTCTTAACGGGGGCATGGGTTGATACTGGTGGTAGTAGCGATGGTTTCAAGGATTCTCAGGCTATAGATAGATGGCAATCTCAAGCTGCTGCTGCTGATCCTGAATTTTTCAATCGTACTTTGCATATTAAGGATGAAGAAGATTCGATTGCTTGTTCGACAGGCCCTCCTAGTTGGAAGCATGACCAACGAGCGAATGAATGTTCTGTGTCACAGGTTACAGTGAATAAAGAGCCACATAAAAATCATATCCGAAGTGCAGATCGTTTGAAACAGGGGGTTGTAGATTTTGTTGCATCGTTGCTTATGGCTCCGTATAGAGCAAAAAAAATTGACAGAGATGTATACAAGTCAATTATGAAGAAGACAGCAACAAAGGTTTGTGACTTTGTGGTTTTCTACTCTTCAAAATTCTTCAACTACTATATTGCGATTCTTGGTTCTACCTGAATTTAGAAAAAGAGTCTTCTGAAACTCTTAGGCATTTATCAGGTTATGCAACATACAACAGATGTGGAGAAAGCTATGGCTGTTACACAGTTCCTCGACTCAAAGCGGAAAAACAAGGTTTGTAAAAGCTCCAAAAGTTTCAGAGTTTCTTTTTGCCACAGTTATTGTTTCTTAAGTTTCTAGTTTATCCCTCTCTCTGGTGTCGGCAAAAATGTCAATTTAGATAATCTTGGTCACAGGTTCTCATAGCAAATATCACTAAATAGTTGAATCTATTTTAGAAGAGTTTCTAATTGATTGTCACTTCATTTGATTAATATATATGTAATATGCAGATTCGTGACTTTGTGGACAAACAAGTTGACAAGTACATGGCGATAGCTCAAGTTCCAAAACCTTGATGGTCATTGGGATCTATAGTAACGGCCAATGGTTGTTGAGTTGGTATCCGCTGGGATGGCAATGCTCCTTTGTAGAAACCACATATCAGGAAGCTTATGAAGCAGACGGTCTGATGTAGAAGAGACTTTTCCCATGATTTTACATACCAAAGCATTGGCAGAGACGAGTTTTTGGCATTACCAGATATGATGGAGAATTTGGTCTTGCTATATTGCTTGGTATGGGTGAAGCATCTTCTCTCCTCTTCCTGGGGGGCAATGTTCTGAGGACTTTCTGATCAAGATTTTATGTCAAGTGGATGTGTCTTTCATCAGTTATCCCCTCGGATGATGCATGTTCTCAACTTACGCTGATTTGTTTTAGTAATTGTATAGAGCTTAAGATTTAGTGTTAACCCCCATTAGACAAAATCCTACTTTCAGGTATCTGAATTCATTTCTTGAGATTCATGTAATTTCTGGAACCCAAGAGAAAAAGCTTTTCACTTTCTAATGCCAATGATAATATAGATTGAGTCAAAGAATGCCAATATGATATTGTTATGTTCTGATTTGCCTATACTAACAGCAGCCATACCTCCTTTGGTAAGTTCGTTCCCTATCTCTCTGAAGGGGAAATCTTGGATACCACAGCTGCAGGTGTTTCACTTTCACTCTTGCAGGTAAAGGTGGATCGTCAAACACTGGAAAGTAACGATTGGTTAAGCTCCCAAGCATTTCAGTATTTTGATGTTCTTCTGGTGTCTCAAGACTTACAAGTAGCTTGTGGTGTCTCAAGACTTACAAGACGCACTGCAATGACGCAGGTTATTTGCTTTGTATGTGTTTCTTCTGCATTCTTTTAATGATGGCTTTGTTAGCAATGTGGCTGAAAGTTTGATGCTGGCTTTTCAGGTGAGGAAACTTAGCCTTGGCTGAATTCACTTTCACCCATGTTGGTGAGGAGCTGGAATCTTTTTAATCGAAGCTGTTTAGATAGATACCTTGGTTCAAGAATCACTCTGCTTGTTGATGGGAGGTACATATATACTTGCATATTTAAAAAAATTGTCAATTGGATTTACATTTGATCAAGGATCGTATTTATGATGCTTCTATCATCAATTCAGTTGCTGCTGTGTTTAATCGTCGGGTCTGGTATTTGCACTGTATTCTCTGAATGTTTTCATGGTTTAAATCGGAGAATCATATGCCATTGGTCATTCCATAATATTGCCATTTCAAATAGTGAAATAGATGAGCATACGGGTTTGCAAGGACCATCCCCTTCCTTGATATTGAGCCATCCTTAACCTTTACGACTGTTAATCTCAAATATCTTTTACTCATCGTAACATCTCTATGATTATGATTTTTGTTTAAAGCAAATGGAAGCATTATTGAAACTTTAAAGCATTCTGCTACTGAAAACATTGGGACTAGAACTCATCCAGTTTATTTATTTATTAATCGTTTGTGTCTATTGAATTTTCACAGCCAATGTCTTGTTTTCTTTTGTCGTAAACAATAATCATGACAAACTATTGTGAAACCACTGTGTCGTGGCAATTGGCATCCACACTCACATTAGCGTAAAGTTAGTAGAGAAGAGCATCGAGGTTTCGTTTACCCTCAGGACCTTTAGAGTACCAGGAAGAAACATATTGACCATACACAACTTCCTTGTAAGACGGTGGGGATAGTTGAGAAACTGGTGCTATCCTTGCCGTCTTGGAAGGATCATGAAAGGTAGCGACTGATAACCGCGCCTGATTCGCATTAGTTACGGCTCTATGTTGAGCACTTTTGTATAACCCATTGGTTATGATCTGCACAATGATAAAAGGAGCATGTCAGAATCTTCTCTACTCTAGCTTGCATTGTCTATGAGACCTCAAAGAGAGAATAGAAACCTCAGTTTGATCGGCTATAAGAACGAGAATAGCATGAGAGTTAGGAGGAACAGTGAGCCATTGAGCATCCTTGTAAAGCTGAAGACCTCCAACATCATCTTGAATCAAGAGAGTAATGGCACCCATATCGGAATGAGACTGAAGACCAAGAGTGAGCTCAGGCTGAGGACAAGGAGGGTAATAACTCACAGTGATGTTCTGATAAATTTCACCAACAGCTTCTTCGATAGATGAACCAGGAAGACCCAAACTCTCTGAGATTAGCTCTAATAGCATCTGAGCTAGTTTCTTCATCTCATCACCATATTCTCCAACAACTTGTCTACCAATCGAATCAAATCAATTAATTGAGAGAGATGAAACATTTTGTCAGAACTAAGAGATGAATCAAAGCAGAAACCTGTAGTCAGGAGGATGAATCGGCCAACGAGAAGGGTTGCGGCGGGAGAGAGGAAACGTGTGATGATCAAAGTAATCTCTCCAATCCAAAACGACGTCGTCTTTAGCACCAAGCAACATCCGGCTACCGTAACCTTCCGACGCGGCGGAGGTAGAGTCGCAAGCGTATCGTAGCTTCTCTTCCATGGGAGAGTCTTGAAAGAAAGAGAGACCTAAAGACCTCATCCGATCAAGTAGATGGATCGGAACACCATGGTTGATTACGTGAAAAGCTCCCCAGTTGCGACAAGCGTCACCGATTGCTTCTCTAGCGGAATTAGAGCTCGAGAGATCGACGGTTGGGATGGAAGCTGCATCGCCGGAGTAATGGAGATGAGGTCGAGCTTCCGGTGGCTGAATGTACTGGGAAGGAACCTCCGGTAAGTTGCCTTTAACAATCAGTTCCACTCTCGACGCTGTTTCCATGGATGATCTGATCTACACGAAGATCTGAAATTTAAGAGGAGAATTATATTTATCAAAAAAAAAACAAATTTACATTATAAAAATAATGCTGACGTGGCACTCTAATTATATATATAGACACTAGAAGTAACAAAGGGTTTTTTTTTTTTTGCCGTCTAATATGTTTTATTAAAAATAAGAACCGTATTGAAAGTGAAAAACAGAACATGCCATCATAAGAAACAGAACTCCACAAAACAGAGTATAAATGATTATGAAAGACTTCCAAACTATGTCATCTCCTCTTCTCCTCTTCAATACGTAAAAATAGCCAAAACGGATCGCCACTAGCTAAATAAGATTGGCCCCGTCCATCACTTGTGACACTTGCAGCAATAGCTCTTGCGATCGTATTAACTTTTGTAGAAGACACCTTAAACACAATTTTACCAAAGCTTGATATTAGCCGATGTATCTTGTCAAGGAAGGAGTGATACCTTGGCCAATTTGATGGGTCAATAATGGCATCAATAGCAGCATGACAATCAGACCATATCTCAATGTTATCCAAATGCAAGTCAGAAAGACTATGTAGAACCCAAAGAATCCCTCTTAATTCCGCAGCGATACGATTTGAAGCGGGTAGAAACATTTCTCGCGCATGGAAAACTGCATCTCCTTGGTGATTCCTTACCATCCAAGCTCCACCACACATATGAGACTCATTTAACCAAGAGACATGAAGATTACACTTAAGAAAGTAAATGGGAGGTTTAACCCATCTGGTCTCACGGCGAGCATTCAAACCAATACCAAGAGGAGGCTGCGGTTGTGTCTCCTTTAACTTATTCCACAGTTCCGCTTCTTCTATTGCATGAACTACCAATGCATTCAAATCACATTGTTTCCCAGCATATAAAACTTTATTGCGGTGCTTCCATATTCCCCACAAAATCCACGGGATCGCCATACGTATAGAGAGTGAAACACTATCATTACTCATAACTTTCAACAAAAATGCTAGATTGTCATTAGTTGAATCTGTAAACCCGTGAGAAGGTAAGGGAATGTTGGCAATCTCCCAAACTTCTCGCGCCGGCCAACAGTTAAAAAGAACATGGCTGATGGATTCTAAATCATTTTGACAAAGAGAACATTGAAGAACAGAATTCATACCATGAGCCTGAAGACAAACCGAGACTGCTAAAGCACCAGATAAAGCTCTCCATAAAAACATTTTGATATTAGGAATAGTCTTAATCGCCCAAATCTTCTCTTTAAGTATACGAGTCTCCTTGTCATGAGCAGATAAAGGTGTAGGATCAGTTTGTAAATGAGACAATAACCAATTACCACTCTTGACCGTGTAACACCCAGACCGGTTATAAGCCCATACATAGCTATCTGCTGCAACCATTGGAGGATAAGACATAATTCTGACAACATCCGGTGGAAAAAACAGTTCCAATAATAGATTGTGGTTCCAAGAGCCTTGGGTGGTAATAAGGTTTGAAACCCGCAAATCTAAATAAAAAAGAGACTGTTTGTTGAAAGGACGACGCGGGATGTTATCAAAGTTCCATTTGTCAATCCACACACTGGTAGTTTGTCCATTCTCGATGGTTTTTATGAGGCCTTTTCCAAGCAGAGCCCTACCATGGATAATACTGCGCCACGCATAAGACGGTCGAGCCCAACAACAGCATCCATAAAATCCTTACGGTGATAATAACGTGCTTTATATACCCGCGCCAACAAAGAGTTTGGTTTTGTAAGAAGTCTCCAGGCCTGTTTTGCGAGTAAAGCTTGATTAAAATCACCAACAGCTCGAAATCCTAAACCACCTTCTTTCCTTGTTTTACACATTTTTTCCCAAGACACCCAATGCATCTTCTTATGTTCTTCACATGAGTTCCACCAAAAGCTTGTCATTGCACTCGTAATCTGTTGGCATTGATATTTTGTTAATTTAAAACAAGACATGGCGTACACTGGTAAAGCCATGGCAACAAATTTAAGAAGGACTTCCTTCCCTCCTAACGACAACGTCTTTGCAAACCAACCAGTCAGCCGGGTTTTGAGCTTCTTTGTTATGTATGATAACAAATCACATTTAGAACCACTAAAACTTTCCGGAAGACCTAGATACATACCATCACCACCTTCCTTGAAAATTCCAAGAAACAGTCCCAGCAAATGTCTCATAATCGGCTCCATCTTGGTGCCATAAATAATTGACGATTTCTGAAGATTTATTTCTTGACCGGAAGCATCACCATATAGTTTCAAACACTTGAGAATTTCAGCCCCTTCTTTAAAAGTAGCCCGACAAAGAAAAAGACTATCGTCAGCGAACAACAAGTGTTGGATGGACGGGCAGTTCCGAGTTAAACGAATACCAGTGATACGTCCTTAAACTTCAGCCTTTTTCATGGTATGGACAAGTGCCTCAGCACACAAAATAAAGATAAAAGGCGAAAGCGGTTCACCTTGTCTTATTCCACGCTCCGGTTTGATAAAACCATAGGAATTCCCATTCAACAAGACCGAGTACGTAACACTTCTCACACAAACCATGAGCCAATCTACTCATTTCCTATCAAAACCAAGTCTAATAAAAAGCTCCTCCAAAAAATTCCATTCAACGCGATCGTACGCCTTGGACATGTCGGTTTTGATAGCCATAAAATCTTCATTACAGTCTGGATGATGGCTTTGTTAGCAATGTGGCTGTGATTATAAAGTGTGTTAGGATGATTGTGAAGTCCTTTGGACGTCCACCCCTTATATAGGGCCGAATGGGTGCCTTCCCGAAGAAGCACATCCGTTCCTTACACCCTTCCGAAGGGTTGCATCTTTCCAATCGTAACCTCTCAGCCTTATCCACCCTTACACCTCTTCATCCCTGAGCTACCACAGTCCACCAGCTCGAGTGTTAGCTGACCGGACCACCTAGCTGGGTCAGTACTCGATCAGTTCACCGAGCTCGGTTGAGCTGTCTGTCAGCTCACCTAGCTGAGCTAGCTAGTCCTCCAGCTGGTTTACCTCACCTAGCTGAGCTAGTTAGTTCGTCCAGCTTGTCCAGCTCACCTAGCTGGATTAACTCGAACTCTTTTGTCCGTTTTTTTCCGTCTAAGTCTTTCGGTCCGTTTCTCGGCCTTGACTTCACTATTCCTAATCTTTCCATGATCATTTCTCCATGATCACTAGATTATCCCGGAACCGTCTAAGTCATCTACCCCTTTCATGACTTAAACGTTTCATTCCTTCCTTGGGTTAACTTATTCATTGGTCTTTCTCGACCATGATCTAGTTTTCCCTAAAACAAACCGGCCCCCTTTAGGATCGCGGGACGCGGGTGTTACAATGTCTCTGAGATGTCGGAGGCATCCTAAATAGTTGAGTGGCTTGTGTTTGAAGCTGGGAGCTCATTTCCACGATCGAATATAACATAAGCTTCTGAATTAGAAGTCAAACAATTGTCATTAAAAAAATTTCTCTCATTTGTTGTCATTAAACTAAGAATTACAGAAATGACAAACATATACCCAAGCCAAATGGTGGAAGAAAAAAGCACAAAATTCGTAGCAAAAACTGACAAAGATACACTAAAGTTCGGACAAGATAGCAGGGATGTAATGGGAGAGTTCAGCGGTGAGAGACTGAAATCCATTGACAAGCTGAGTATGGAATTCCTGATCTTCTTCTCCGATTAATCTAAAGTGAACCCTAATGGCTCGCTTACAAACCGCCATGAATTCAAGCAGTGCCGCGATCAGTTGCTGCAGTTCCTGCGAACGCAATCTAGTTGCAGGCTCTCCTGATAAGAATGCTGTGCACACGCTCAACACCCCACTGTTCACCTGCATATTTCATGGAAAGGCACACGATAAGCATATTCTACGTTTTACAACACAATCTATAACAGGTATTATGGGAGAAAACCCACCTGCACTGCAACACTTCCTTGGAGAATCCTCTGCAGACTTTGAAGCCGTGGTAGGTGATCCCCATCCGAGCTACGAGGCTCCTCTAGCTCATTTCTCAGAGCAGTTGTCCGCGTTTCAATCATTCCAATCGCATTCTCCACTGGCGAGAATTCAAGGGATTCAGACTTGGTAACCAACAGCCTATTCACAAGCGCAGGGAATGAACCCTCAGTCTGCAGCACTGTTCTTCTCTTCCATTGATCTTCTAATCCACCTTGGGTCTTACCATTTTTTGTAAATGGTGTGTCAAACAAGAAGCGATCAAACACTCGTGCTCGAACACTTCCAGTCGAAAGAGAAAATATTCTCTCTCTTCTGCTCCCAAGATCCTCATCTTCCATCACTGCATCAACAGCTGTAATTTGCAGGTAGCACACTCCTGCCTGCAATTCTTCTGCTTTCACTTGTCTCGAATCTGGTATAATGTGCAGAATATGGTTGCTGTCCATTCTTGATTCATAGATATGGCTCAGCTTTTCCATTATATCCCCTAGCCGCACATCTCGTGGTTCACGGTATACATATTCTTTTCTGTCCAACTTCCCAAACTTTTCCCCGTAAAATCCCACCCGGTAATATGTAGCATCAATAAATGGGATTGGGTTTGATTCTTGGTCAAGAATGGACTCATATATATTAGTAAGTAAAGTGTGACACTTAGCCAACTGCCCATAAGCCTTCCTGCTCTTGTAAACTGGAATAACAAGTTCCAAAATGCTTGCACAAAAATGGTAGAGCTCAGCTTGAGAGAAAAGCTTATTAGCAAGCTGTAGGTACTTGACGGCGGAGTCAACTGTTAGCTTTGAAGCACCATAACCCTCGACTTCAGCTGCAGATGCCTCTGTTGTAAACTCGCCACTTACCATCGGGCAAATCTTACGCAAGGCAGACACATGATCCTTGCTCCACACACCATCATTTCTAGCCACCAAGGCCTACAAGGCGAAATCAAAACATGCACATAAGTTCTGGAAGTAGTATTTAGTGCACAGGAAGACTTGAATGAAGACTGCAGAGCTTAAAAGCCAACCAGACTGCAGAGATGATCCACTGCGCATGTAAACACATACCAGATTTATATATTATTACCTGCATTATCACACCTGCAACCGCCACAGCACACTGTGCAGCTTCAGCCCAAGACTGCATTTCCTGGTGGGCATCACATAGATGCAGCAACCACATTATGTGAAGATCCGGAACAGGAGCAAATGCCATTCCAAGTTTGTAGAAGCTCTCTGCTGCAGCATATCGATCCATAGCCATCACAGATCCCTGTAATAACAAAATTTTGCATTGGAAAAATATAGAATGACTTACAAACTGGTTGAATCTAATGGTTTTTTCTTCATCACGATATGTTGAACTAAGAAGAAAAGTGACAGGAAATGGTGGAAATATGACAGTGATGTCACAAAACAGGATTGAAAAACTTGTGTAAGTTTGACAAGCCCGTCTGTGATACTTATTTTAGATCAGTGACGTCAAGACAGTCATTCACAGTAATATATGAACTCTCACCTATTTGGGAACTCCCTAAAATTCCCAAGTTAAGAGTTCAGGAACTATCAGTTATCTTATATACCTATCAGTTAGATAAAAATACTAGAAATAGGTGTCGAGGTGGAGGAATTTGAGTGTAAAAGTCATGACACTTCCACCACAGAACAAGGGAAGGACCAATTTAGCAATCAAGCCCTCTAATACAGGTGACAAGATGAGCATAAGACATTTCTTCCCTCACTGACACCAGAAAAATATCTTTACGAAATGCCAAGATGATTATGAACCATACCAAAAGGGCATGCCCGAGGCTGGCATCAAGAGCAAGAACAAGGCTATCAGAAAGATGTTTGACTTCAGCCCATGACCAGCGATTCTCTGTAAATTTCTCGGGAATTATCAACAGTGTATCATCAGGAAGACCACACTCCCTCAACAAATCGACACTCTTAGCTTCATCAGCCATTTCGCTTAATGACTGTTGAAGCCGACGTGCTTCTCCACTCTCTTC